TTTCCCTCCGGTTCAGGCCATGTGGCTCTCTTTTTCATACACCCAGATGTCATCTTAGACTAGATCAGAGGCAAACAAAGAAAGCTGAAACCAGAAAGACTAGGATTTATTTAAAAGAGTTATCTAAAGAGACTATATTATTGAATCAGACAGACTTTATTGAATTGCACTAAATTATTGACTCAATATTCAACCTAACATAGAGTTCCTAATATTCAATAGGATTAGAGCTTGAGGGATAAGCTATTAAAAAAAAAAAAAAAAAAAAAAAAAAAAAAAAAAAAAAGGCCCTAGCGGGTTTGGCTCAGTGGATAGCATTGGCCCATGGACTGAAGGGTCATGGGTTCATTTCTGGTCAAGGGCACATACTTCAGTTGCAGGTTCGATCCTCCACCCCCACCCCACCCTCGCGCCAACAATTGATGTATCTCTCTCACATCAATGTTTTTCTCTCTGTGTCTTTCCCTCTCCCTTCTACTCTCTCCAAAAGTGAATGGGAAAATATCCTCAGGTGAAGATTAATAATAATAATAATAATAATAATAAGGAAGCTGCATCTAACCTTACATATCTGAGTGCAGTGTGAGAAAATATGGGATCCTGCAACTCAAGGGAAAGAGTATTTCTATTTTAGCTGACATTATTACTTTTATTAGCCCAGGCACCTACTCAAGGCATCCTTTGACTTTCTCCCACACTGAACCTTGAAACCATGCCATGCACTCATCTGGTTGCTAAATCATTTTTCTCCCATTAGTAAATCTAAACTCCTCCAAGAACTCTTCATAAACCATCAAAGATCTAACATGTTCCCTGACCCCACCTTGTCCAACTTATAACTTCCTTCCATGCTGTTCTCCATCTTTTCATTTATTATTTTATTCCTAATACTTAAAGTACTTAACAACCTAATTTCTGCTTTTATTCGGTATCTTTTACATATGAGTATTTATGAGCCTAAATTGCAAGTTTGTAGAAGATAGGTATTGTTTTTTATTTGTTGCCTCTTCAAGACAATAAGTGTTTTTAAATGGTCTTGGTTGACAGTTAAATCATGTTTGTTATGGAACAACATTTCCATAAAATGGATCATTTTCCATACATTATTCATTACTTTCTGCAAAAGGGATGATACTTGAAATATGATTCAGTAAAATCTTGTAGCTTCTTCACCCTTAACAGGTGTCTTCTGTCCCAGTCCCTAGTGTAATTACAATGGTCAGTGTACTTAATATGCTTATAACTTCTTTGCTCTTTTCAGCAAATACAAGTGACATAATTGTATTGAGGTTTCATTGGTTATTAAAGAAATTTATTTAAGAACTGAGACAATAAGTTGTATTCCTCCCTCATAATGCTCAGATTGGACCATGTGCCTAATGTTTGGTAATAATTGCTAAATTATCTGGCAACTTTAGGAACATATATTCTTGATACATGGAATTATCTTAAAATCAAGTGAGAAAGGGGATGGAGGACACTAAGATTTGCTTTGGTGATACTCTCCATGAGGCCACGTCCCCAACCCAAATTTGTCAAGGTGATGCACTTAAAAAAATAATAATAATAAATCAACCGAAAAACAAATAAGACCAAGAGCTCCTTCTAAAACCAAATGCCACAGGTATGTAGTAAAAGTCCCGCCGGCGTCAGATGAGATGTGCCTTTCTGAGGGAAGCGGATAATTTTTACTTGATGGTGAATCGTTAAAAGTGAACCAGATGATTAAGCTTAATAGAACAGCCACATTCAACTGAAATTAGTAAGAACATGCCTCCGGCAGCCTACAACCTTTTATTTGTTGTTGTTTAACTTCTGCCTTTACAGTGGCCGTGATGAATGACATCACAAAAGAAAAAATCCAATTAAAATCTAAGTGCTCAATAAACCCCTAATGTCTGCTTGTCACCACCCCTTTCACTATCACCGATGTCTTATGTTTCCTTTTTTCCTCAAGAAGAGAAAAAAGAACTGGGCCCCGGGGGAGTTCAAGGTAAGGGGGGTTGGGGGAAGTAGGGAAAGAATTATACAAAAGCTTCTGAGGTTCCTGTTGCCTTGCACCCTGTCAGACACACACCCTGCAGGTGGAGGGGATGAGGTTAAATTGTTTTATCACATACGCCTGAGTGAAGAGGTGCATTTTCCCACTGGGTTTCAAATATTGGTAAAGCAGGAATTGGGATCGGCAGAGCAATCCCTGTTCACCCTCTTACTTGGTGTCTCTGCTGCTCTTCCGAACCGTCTCGGGTGTTTGTTCTATAAGTCATCGAAATGGTCTCTCCCGACAGCTAAAAATAAGCTTCTGATTACTTTTACCTGAATCAATCTTGTGACCAGATGTGGTATTCACCTACTAAGTGTGCAACAATTACCATCGAGAGGGCTGCGAGAACAGGCCAAGGGGAGTCTATAATCTAGTGGAATGCAGAATATAATAAATCACATGGGAAACTGGCAATTGCCACCTGGTAGAAGAATACTGGGTGTTGATAACAGATTTCACCTTAGAGACACTGTGTATTTGCAAAATTGGGTTTTCAAAGTCCTTACAACAAAGTTCTCAAAGTCAAAAGCAGAGCAGAAACATGCTTATGATGAACTGAGAGTTTAAAATAGTAATGATTTCTTAAATTTGGAAGGAGCTTTGTAATTTATAAACTCATATGTGCTTTTATCACATTTACATAGCATTTAATGTGGTATTTATATACAGGCTTTAATTAGATGCTCATGACAGCCTTGTCCTGTAGCTCTTATCATCATCATGTTACTGATAAGGAATCTGGCACAGGGAGGTTAATTGACTGCTAGGATCCTATATTTGGGGAGGAAATCGAATGAGCAAGACCTATACTTAGGGCTGCGGCTGCAGGGCCCCAGCACTGTGCCAGGGCGCTAACCATGGCTGCCCTGGAGCCAGGACCCAATGGGCAGTGATGTTGGTTGCGTTCCTCATGAGCTAATGAAATAGCTTTTTAAGAGCTCACTTCAGTCATTAGAGTTTGATGGTGGAGAGTTAAATGTTCCCCAGTGGCTCTTTCTGTGTAATCATGGTTTCAACGTTTTCTTAGCATATCACATTACACAAATCATGGAGTGCTCTTGTTTTACATTTCTTATTGCGTTTGTCTCACTTCTAAGCAATTTCCTCCCCATGCGCATTTATCTTCCATTATTTCTGTCAAACTGCTTTCAAGGCCACTAATTGTATGAATAATATTCTCTTCCTCAAACCCTGCTATTAACCAGCGTTAGCTGTGTGGCATTGGACACAATTTCCCATCTCTAAAAACCGGGAGGTTGCACCCAATAGTCTAGAAGGCCTCTTCTTGCACTTTAGTTCTATACTTCTGACGCTTTCACGGGAGCTGTGTGATTTGGGAAACACTACATAAAAGGGAACTTCAGTTTTCTTGACTCTGTGATGATGGATTCAATTAGCTCATGTTTCCCAAACTTTGCTTCTTGGAAAACTGTTTTGGGGAATATCACTATGGATCACACCCAAAAAGGCTTCTTTACATAAAAGAGCTCAGGAAAGCTAGATGAAATAAAGTCAAATATAATTTTGAACTGTGTTCAGTCTTTCATATGTTAATGGGCAATGGATGACGGCAAGAAAGAGGCAGACTATAAAGTATTTCCCAAACTTATTGGACCACAGAACCCTTTTGAGTCAGCATTTTATATAAATTACATTCCATGTGATACACTTTTAGAAAGGCAGGGTTACATTATTCTTAGGATCCCTTTATTACCCTGAAATTCTATTTTTAGATTTGTGTCTAGACTGTGAGCATTCCATACAGCATTAATCAGGAGGGCACAGAGCTGGTTTACCTTTTGCTATTGTTGCCATAACTGTTGTAACATGGCCCATACCCTGGTTAGATGAAGTTGAAATAAGGTAGCGATTAGCAGCCTTTCCACTGAAACTAACTTGTCTGTATGTAGCTGATATTATAACTGGGGTTTGAAAATAGTTCTCAGTAAAGAGCACTTTTGGGAAATCTATAAATAAGGGCTGTATTAGAAGACCTATGGGATACTCTTGCTAAGGTGGTAAAAAGGGAACATGGGAAATAACAGGAAGTCAACTCTTTGGAAATACTCTTTGGGATTAGGTAACATGGGCTACTTTCCAAGTTACAATCATCCTCTTCCAAGTCAAAGGTCTCTTCACATTCATTTAATTCAACCCTTTACCTGACCCATTGCCATGACTTTAACCATATTAGAGTCACTGTTTGATTACCTTCAGGAGCAGGAACCCACTACTTCCTAAGGCAGATTATGCAATTTTAGGCGGCTCTGCTTTGTAAGTGGTCCTTTCCCATATTAAACTAAAATCTAAGTGTTAAATGTTCTTATTCCAAGTGACCTTGTAAATGATCTAGTCCGCGGTTTTCAAGGCAATGTCCATAGCGGTACTTAAGATGTTTTTCAAATGCTTCAAGTTGGATTTCATTCATTGATTCATAAATAAATACATAAATTTCATATAGAAAATCGATTATAGTCTCCATTATATTAGATTCAAAGAGATTTGCTAGCTCTCCTAAATTCAGTATAGAAGCAGAGTGTACCCTGGTCTCTCTGATTCAAAACCCAAAATCCTTTTCTTAATAATATATTGCTTCTTTAGTGTGTCCGCATACATAAAAGTGAGGAGGAGAGTGTATTAATAGAATCTAAAAGCTGTAGAAAAAAATAGTTTCATTCCAGCCAGTCTTGTGATTACTCTGGCTCTTAGTTTTTCCCTTCTTCAAAATAAGGATTACTACATTTTCTCTAAGCTCTGTTTCAGTTCTGGAAATTTCTATGATTATAAGGAAACATGTTCATTAATGAATGGTATTTACTATGGGGGACTGAAGTCACAGTAGAAGAAAAGAACTGCATCCCTTAGAAAGGATTGAATGAAAGCATGCATCATAAAGACAAACAGTTTAGAATCACGTTTGATTTTTTACTTTCTTTAATTTTTTTTTCTATACTAGTTACATTCAGACCAGGATAAAGGAGATGGATCACTTAAATATATCCTTTCAGGAGATGGAGCAGGAGATCTCTTCATTATCAATGAAAACACAGGGGATATACAAGCCACCAGAAGGTTAGACAGGGAAGAAAAACCTACTTACATCCTTCGAGCTCAAGCTGTAAACAAAAAGACAGGGATTCCTGTAGAGCCAGAGTCTGAATTCGTCATCAAGATCCATGATATCAACGACAACGAACCAATCTTCACCAAGGAGGTCTACACAGCCACCGTTCCAGAAATGTCTGACGTGGGTGAGTGGGACATGATCTCAACCAGGCAATGCTTCTCCTCCAGTTCATCAACTAAACAAAGAATCCTATGAGTGAAACTTACTGATTGAATAAATATAGATGCTAAATTCTAAAGTACCAATTTTAAACAATCTACTTATGTCCCTTTTGTAAGTACCCCCGTGTTTCCTAATACTATTCTAGTCTCACTTTATTATCCTTTTAAAGAAAACTGCATTTCCTCTAAAGATGAGGGTAGAGTGAGAATAGGAAAAAGAAAGAGAGCCATCTCATCTACTTCTCCCACCCTAAATTCCTGCTCTATTTCCTGGGCTGGAAAACAGCAGCCTTCTCTGTTTCTCTTAGCACTTACTGGCATTAAGGCTCCAAGTAAGAATCTCCCCAGTGGAAAACAAAAGCCTGTATTTACAGTCCAGACTAAAGAGTAATGACTGTTGCTTTAAGTGACTGTATATTTAAAGAAGAGACTCAAAGAAAACTTATTTTCAATCCATAAAAAATATGCAGAGGATGTCTAAGGGAGATCTTTTACTAATTGGTGGAAATTAGTAAATTACATTAATATGGTAAATTAATATTTTGTGCACAATTCTACCAATTTTAAAGTTAATATTTGTGCATTTAATTTGCTTAGACTGGGAGAAGGTAAACAGAATTTCAACTAAGAAAAAAAATCCTACTGACATCATTCTTAGCCACATTAATATACTTCGTGGGAGACAATGACATATTAAACTACTCATGTAAGGTTATTTTAATTTTCACTCAGTCTCAAATTCAGAAGAGCTGAATTACATAATAAAAATGTTTCTACAATTCTGAGTCATATATCACAGCTGTTTCAGTCCAAAGTTCCGAGACTTTAAAAATATTTAATCCATGGAAATGCTTGTAAAACATCTAAATTTTTCTCACGAAGAAGTTGCTCATCCCATTACTTAAAGCCACTTTGTTTTGTTCAAAAAAAAATCACAGATTATCACCAAGCAAAGAGGAGAATTAGAATTCTTTTTAAAGGGAAGATTTGTTAGGAAGAATATTTTTCCATTTGGTGGTAAAAGACAGAAAGAATTAATAAAGGATAGTCTTATCATCAATACCACCAAGAACAACCGTAACCAGATGTGCAAGTTGTCACTGAACAACTCTCAGGGTACCATTGACTTTTTTGTACAGAGAGATAATTTTTAATTGACTTTATTGGGGTGAGATTGGATAATAAGATTATATAAGTTTCAGGAGTATAATTCTGTAATACATCATCTGTATATTGTATTGTGTGTTCACCACCCAAGTCAAATCTCCTTCCATCACCATTTATCCCCCTTTACCCTCCTCTGCCTCCCCCTACCCTGTTTTCCCTCTGGTAATCACCATACTGTTATCTGTCTATAAGGTTTGTGGGATAATCCTTTCACCTTTTCCATTTAGACCCCTTCCCCTCTCCCTTCTGAAAGCTGTCAGTCTGTTCTCTGTATCTGTGAGTCTGTTTCTGTTTCATTTGAAGCCATTATAGAGTTAAATATGTAGTACAAATATTTGGGAATGGCTAACAGAAACATATTTTGAGAAAGGGAGGTCTTTTTCTAACTTGCACACTGGCATGGGTATCTTGATATTCATCATTATCATAAATTAACATGTCATTATTCTGATATATAAAAACATTTTAAAGAAATTACATAAAGAAACAACAGCAAAATAGTAAAAAATGAACTCTGGTATCAAACAGACCTAAGTTTGAAGTTACCTCTACTAACAAACAGCAGTATGGTTTAGGTAAATGACTTGATTTCTCTCACCCTCCAATTTCATATTCTCTAACAAATAAATAATAGATGTCAACTTCTAAGGTGAAGACAAAAAGAGAAAACAAGTGCACAGCCCCAGTACAACATCTGGCTACTCACAAGTGCTCAAAACGTCCAGACAGTCGTATTCTAAAAGCTATTAAATTTGTATTGATGTCAAATAAGAGCGTGTTTGTTGACTTCTGCTATTAGCTCTCACTCTAAAATCATGATGTTCTCATTCTCCCCAAGTCCCTCATTGAATTAAAAGGGTGTGTGTTCTATCTCAGGCACCAACATGCTGCATCCAGAGCAGCCAACCTTAGCAGTGCAGCATATTTGTTCAATACATGTAGTTAGATAGTACCCACGCAATGGAAAAATGCTAGTATTCCCTAAATGTAGCTTCCCTGCCCTGTTCATAGACAGGAGAACCTTAGTGGTGTGCTTACTATTTATCTACCAGGAATTCTAAAAGTCGGCCACAAAAATGATCTTAATCAGAGGATCTTTTCCTTTTTGGAAGTCACAGACCTCTTTGCGATCAGATAAAAATCTATGGAACTTCAGTGAAATATGCATGCAAGCATATACATAACCATTTGCATGGAATTTTATGGAAGTTAAGGATACTTCAAAGGTTATTAGGCAACTCTGTCTTCCTAAAATAAGAGTGCTGATCTAAAACACCACAGTTTTCTTTGTACATTTAATTATGATCATTTTTGGGTATTACAGGTACCAGATGTGTATCCTCTGTTGATTCAATTAATTCTTTATTTAATCCAAAACTACCTCGATTAAGGTTCAAAGCCTTTCAATCTCTTAGAATTAACAGGTAGATTTGTTACTTAAGGATGCTTTTATTTGCAAGTAACAGAAAACTCAATTCAAACTACTTTAAACAACATAAGTACTTACTGGTCACATTACTTAAGGCCAGAAATGAAGTAGGCTTTAGACATGGTTTGATTGGAGTTCTGTTTACCCTAAATTCTCTGTTCTGCTCAGCTTTGTTCTCAGGCTGCCATCTCTAATGTCACTAAATAGCGACTGCATTTTCAGGCTCCTCTTCAGCACATTCTAGTCCAGTAGAAATGACAGAATTTCCAGCAAAATCATGAGTGGCCCCCTGATTGGACAACTCCTAAACAAATCCCTATGGACAAAGTAATGCCAGATTCGGATTGACTAGGACCTGGATAACTTAAAAGAAGTGCCATAGCAAGAATCCAATCAAATCCCACCTTTGGAGATGGATTGCGATCAGTTCCATCCAAAGTCATGATCATTCCCATGCTTCCCTTTAACCTAATCCTTACAGTATTTATAAATGGCGCTCACTTTCCTTCAGAGTGAGGGATCCAAGCCTTTTTAACCTAGCATATTATTGAAGTTCCCCACTGACTTGCCATGATAGTTTTGGACAAAAGCAAGATCATGCTTTCTCTTATGTGTGCCTATCTGGGATCTGAAGTGGGCCCTTACTGTGTTTTCAATTCATGTTCTGTCATTACAGGCACAGTTGTTGTCCAAGTCACTGCCACCGATGCTGATGACCCAACATACGGGAACAGTGCTAAAGTTGTCTACAGCATCCTGCAGGGGCAGCCCTATTTCTCAGTTGAATCGGAAACAGGTTAGAATTCTATTTTTATCTCCTTTTTACAATCTGTAATTTTAATTGACATGCTTGGCTAAGCTAGCATATTTTGTAATAAAAACAATCCACGTGATTGAATTTTTTTAGATTTGCCTGCCAAATACCAGTGATATAAACATAACACACAGATTCTTTTAATCAAGAAATATGACAATGGGTCTTTCATCCACTATTTTTATATATGGCATATTCAGAAACAATTACACATTGCTTTATTTTTTTTCTTCCAGTTTGGGATGGATGAAGCTAAAAGATCAAGCCCTTCTGATAGCTATTTGGCTGTTTATAAATATTCCAATTCTTCTTTTTCTAGGTATTTGGTAGGTTTGCATTTCTCTACCATGCTCTGAAGCTAGATGTAGCCATATGATTTATTTGGGCCAATAAAATGTGGCAGTGATGTGAGTTACTTCCAAGTGGATCTTTTGACCTGGTGTACACTCCAGCATGTGCCCTTCCATTTGCCAGAGTGACCCCAGATGGGAGCCAATGCTGAGATGCTTCTCCAGCCCAGAAATCTGAGTATTATGATGAGTATAGTTACCTGCTGGCCTGCTCAGAGCATGAGAAAACAAACTTCGATTGCATTAAGCCACTGAGATTTTGTTTTGCATGTTGTTACCTCATTGTCTACCCCATCCAGACTGAGATAGCCCTAATAAAGTGGATTGCTTTAATGGAATTCTTTTTTTCAACACCTCCTTTTTCTGCACTTTCTCCACAAAATAACGTCCTATCTTATAATGAATCATTTTAGTGAACATCATTTGTACTGTCTTTAAATTCTACACTTATTTTTGTTGTCATAATAAGAGTGGAGTTTCTTAGAAACATTTTTCAAGCTTCCATTATTCTTAGTAGAAATCAAAACCCTCCTAGGTTATTACATCCAGTTGGAAATCGATGGGTTAAGAGGGGCAATAAACTTGGAAAGAAGCCCAAGGAGAAAGAAAATGTCGAGTTTAAAAACAATGAAGATGAAAAAATTAGAATTATTCAACTTAAAGAACACAAGGCTAAGGTATTTAGATAGAAATACTGTTGTTTGGAGAACAGAAATAACAGCTCCACTTTCAATGAAGCCAGGACTGCAGGAATGAAGCTGACCTGTTTTCTGAGGTATTGTTAAAAACAAGAAAGATTTTTTTTTTTTTTTCAGTTTCATGGCTGTTCAGCACTGGAATGTGCTACCAGAGAGAGTTAAAAGCCTTCTCCAGTGATTTTTGAAAGAATGTTGTTAATTTAAGCATGAACCCTACCTAAGAAATTAGGCAAACTTTCACAAGTTCTTCCAACTCATTATTTTATAACTACTTAACAATGAGGTAAACTTCACCTAACTTGAGAATCTTGGTCACTGCTGGGGCCAGCTGAACTAATGTTCACATCAGCTTTAGGAAATCTTAAAATCTTTTGGATCACACAATATGATGATTATGAAAGAACTGATGCTGGGGGAGGGGGGGAGTTAACCATAGTTTCATGGTTTAGAAAATCCTGAGAACATTCATTATGGTGGGTATATTTGTTGAGCAATTAGCCAATTCAGTAAAGTGAAACTCAGGAGACAGTTCATGTATATGGCTTTCTTTTAACAATCTCCTCCTAATGCACCTAAATATATCAAGCAACTTCGGTGGTATACTATTGGGCCACACGCCAAGTTACACTTCGCTGTGTCATCTTATAACACTTAATATTTATACTACTTACATTCTCCATGGTTGCAGGATTTGACTTATTCTTCTTGTATTGTAGGTGATTCTTTTAAATGCATCTCTCTCCCCTATGTGGTTTTCACTTCCTTCAGTATAAAGGCTACCTATAATCATTTTTATGTCACCGATGACATCTGCATAGTGCTATGCATATTGTGGGTGAAAAATCTGTGTGTTTGCATAAATAAATGACTCCATAAAGTATTTTTAATATATTCCTTTCCACTTCTGAATTTCATATCCATAGGTATCATCAAGACAGCTTTATTCAACATGGATCGAGAAAACAAGGAGCAGTACCAAGTGGTGATTCAAGCCAAGGACATGGCCGGCCAGATGGGGGGATTATCTGGGACCACCACAGTGAACATCACACTGACCGATGTCAACGACAATCCTCCCCGGTTTCCCCAGAGTAGGAGCATTTGAATGATGACTTTCTTCAGGGCACTTTTGTAAAACTCTAAATTGAAGGATGATATTTATTTTCGATTGTTGCTATTAATTATCAGAATTAATGAACTTAGTGAGAACTGACGCTTTTATTAAGAATGAGTTGACAATGCTTACACTCAGTAGATGTGAACATTTATGTTCCTGAATCGGAAATTAGCCGAGCGATTTCTGATATGGCTGTCATTGCAAGTGCAACATCATTGTTTCCTTTTTCCTTATTAAAAAGACAACCACAGACATAAATTTGCTTGCTCAGAACATACGCATTCAAGCATGCTGCTATTTGTTAGGAAAAATTTGACTTTATATTTTGTGAATTTAATCAGCCATGTAATCTCTTTTAAATCCTCACGAAGCCTCATAAGAGGAGGATTTATCATTTTACTGTTTCTAAAAATACATCTGTGGAAATAACTGTGCACTTAATCCATTTATACTCATAAATAGTTTTCTACATTATGGTTAATTGAGATCCCGAAAACCATCTCCAAAACTATTAACTCTCATGATTATGTAGGAAGGAAGAAGAAGGAAAACCAGCCTTCACAAATGCCCACCTTGTATCCAGCAGAGCAGTAGCACCTCAGTGGGTACTGGTTATAATGTAATTTTTCTCCCAGGAACAAAATTCCTTTCTGACTATGGTCTCCTCAGAAAATTACCTGACTCTTGTCTTCCAGGAGAAATCAGCTGCCCATTATTAAACAGAAAACCCACGTACTCAATCATGGCATTTTAAAAAGCCAGTCAGCTAATAGGGGCTTCTTATATAATGGAGATCCACAGGGATCAACAGGAAATCTTTCTGTTTTCTTTACTTTTGTTCACTAATTAATCACAGTTAGCTAAATGCAAAAACAGAGTAGCTAAATAATTTCTGATTTAATGAGTAGGAGAAAAATTTTAGGAATCCTAAAATATCCCCCAGAAGCCTGAAGTAAAAATATCAGGATCACCCTAACAGGTTTGGCTCAGTGGAGAGAGCCTCAGACTGCAGACTGAAAGGTCCCAGGTTCAATTCCGGTCAAGGGCATGTACCTTGGTTGCCGGCACATCCCCAGTAGGAGGTGTGCAGGAGGAAGCTGATCGATGTTTCTCTCTCATTGATGTTTCTAACTCTCTGTAAAAAATCAATAAAATACTTTTTTTTAAAAAAATCAGGATCACCAACAACTTAACCCAAACAACCCCTTTTCCATATGGAAATGCCCTGGGGAAGGATAACAAAAGGACTGATGGGCACTTTGATGCCACAGGTACCTTATGTCATCCTCCTCTCTCCTTGGATAGCCTGTGATCATTAGTGAATAATGTACAGAGGCAAGAGAGGGGAGAATAGAGAAAGGGGTAGGAGGCACCCCAAATGGAAGTTGAATACACCAGAGAAAACTGTGGACTGTTATCATCTTACCAAGGATGAGCCCATTACTTAGTGGATTAATATTATTCAAGGACAATATTCTAGGTGTGTCATAGTCCAATTTCTTTTTCAAAACAATTTGCATGAATGCTTGGCAAAATGTATTGGATGAGAGAATACATTTGTTTGACTTTTGGGGCCTTAGTGCATGCTGGCCTAGCAGATCTAGACTGAAATTCACGTAGAGTCTCCTTAAACCAATTTTGCAACATGAGAACATAAACAAAGTGCCTGTCTATGAAATATGGGTTTTGAATTAGGAATATAAATTCAAGAATGGGTAAAATCTATGCATAGAAAAAAATAATGTAAACAAAACTTAAACGAAAAATTTAGTCAAAAGAAAAAATGAAGAGCTTTATCTCTCAGTGTATTGATCTGTATGCCTAACTGCGACTAGACCAGTTCCATGTTTGAGTAAATGTCTGCTAGGATACATTCTCCAAATTGCTATAATTTACTTTCACCTTCAGTTATTATTAGCAATGACAGCAAGAAAAAAAAAAAAAAAAAAAACACCCTAGCCCTAGTAATTGGCTTAAAGTCACAGTTCAGGTTAAATTCTTTTCTACTCTTTCTGCTGGGTTTACATTCACAGGAGGCTTGGAAATGTGCAGCCACCCCTAACAGCTCAGTCTTTCTCACAATCACACCGTAAACTTGGGAGCCTATGTACAGAACGAGAAAAGTGTTCTCCATTTGCAAAGAGACAGGGATGGAAAAAAAGAAATATTCTTAACCATCATGAAAGTAAAGATGGAGAGGTATAGGGCACCATTCATTATTTTAAGAAAAGCACAAATCAGCCTGCATCCACAGTGATGCCTGAAAGAACTGTCGGGAAATGGGTTCGTTTCTATTCTGATAGCGTACACTTAGTCTGCGTCTGACTTATATTTTTCTGGTGATTAATAGGTACATACCAGTTTACCACCCCTGAGTCTTCTCCACCGGGTACATCAATTGGCAGGATCAAAGCCACCGACGCCGACGTGGGAGAAAATGCTGCGATTCAGTACAGCATTACCGAGGGGGAGGGGCTGGACATGTTTGATGTCATCACTGACCAGGACACCCAGGAGGGGATTATCACTGTCAAAAAGGTAATGCCAGTGGGTAAATTCCCTGCAACTGAATGCATTTACGTTTCTCTGCGCCCCAAGTAACTGGGGGCAATCGCATCTCACATAAACATTCCTCTGGATTTTCCTTTCACTAATCAGTTTTCTAAAACACCAAGTCTAAGTACGTTGAGATCTCTTTGATTGGCCTTTAGGGGTCCTCAATAACCTTATGGATTCATTCATTTATACTTTCAATAAATTTTATGAAGGGCCTCCTAAAGAACTAGATAATCTAAATAAATGATACACAAAAAAGTATCTAAAATAAATAATAGAAATGAACCAATATGTGAAAAAACAGTGGCAGACACTGTTCTAGATACATAAGGTTTAATGGTCCACTTAACAGGCTGGTCTCTGCTCTCATGGAACTTCTAGTATAGGGAGAAAAGAGGCAAGGAAGCAAATAAATGAATAAAACGTGCATGACTCTGATTTCTGATACATGCTTTGAAGAAAAGGAATACAAGCAATGGTAACAATGAACTTCATTAGATTGAGAGGAGATATAAAGACCACAAAAATAAATTAAGTAACACAAATTTCCTATGCGCTCTTTAGCTACTCTCTGGAACACAATAATAAATCTTGTATATTCTGAATTCCTGTTTGTCCCCTATGTATTTATTCACCATTTATCCCCGCATCATTTGTCTAGTACTACAGAGTACTATACAGAAGTGTGACAAAAATTAAAATCCATAACTTTTTGCTTTGAAGCTAAAAATAATATTAATTCTGGTTATTTATTTTACTGATTTCTCTTTCATCAATGTCTTCTCTCTCCTTTAGCACACTGTTATATGTGCAGGCATAATGAAGTATAGGGAAAGGTAAATAACAAGAATATGTTTTCTTCTTAAGCTTTGGAGTACAGGTCTTAATAACTGGAAACACAATAAAGCATGTTTAAGTGACACTCAGACCAATGTTGTACACTATAATATAATTAGGAAGCCCATTAGTGTCCATTAACCTTTTTAATTTTTCTGGTGCCTTATCAGATTCAAACTGAAATTTTGCCTAGCCGACTAAATCACATTCTCGAACGTCTTGATTAATTGTGTTCCTAGTGAGCCTTGTCATATTATTATCCAAAACCAAAAGTCAGCAAGAAGCATTCGGGTTCACTGTGTCTCCAGAAGCAGAGAGGCTTTTCCTAAAGACCTCTGACAACACTGATCATTACTTTCTTTGGCAAGTAATTAGCCCAATGCCCTTATCAAGATAACACTTGGAATATGTTATCGCCTCATGCAACAAGAAAAAAGAAAAAAACCACCAACATTTTTAATCTATTTTATCTGAATGAGGAATAGGGAATCGTGATACAAGCCTGTGGTTCTCAATTCTGGCTGCACATTAGAATCACTAGGGCAGATGTGTAATAGTATAAATTCCCATTCCACACACACCCCACACCCTAGACATTGTGGTTTAATGATCCAGGGTGGGGCCCAGATATTGGCAAATTTTAAACACTCATTTGGTGTTTGGTTAAAGTTAGATGTGACAACCCCTGACCTAGAATAATCTACCACATATTCACCAAATTGTCCCTGGTATGGCTCCCTCTAGTCACACAGAAGGATTTATTTTAAAGGGTGACTAACATACTCCTGCTTCCAGGTCCCCTTTCCTGACCATTGCACCTTGCACCCTGCTCCCACTTTCATCAGGACTGTGAGCCCTGTGAACTCCCATGGCTTTAGCCCAGCATCACACTGTGTAGTGACGTCTGTAAGCAATATGATCCCCTTCATTCATCAGTGATTTTCACACAAAAAATAGTTCATATCTTGCCTTTCTGTGTCTTGGCTGCTTTAAATATGTCCCTTTCCCTCTCCCTCCCACCCAAGCTGCTGGACTTTGAAAAGAAGAAAGTGTACACCCTCAAAGTGGAAGCCTCCAACCCTCACGTTGAACCCCGCTTTCTCTACCTGGGTCCATTCAAAGACTCAGCCATGGTGAGAATTATGGTGGAAGATGTAGATGAGCCGCCTGTCTTCAGCAAATTAGCCTACACCTTGCAAATAAGAGAAGACGCTCAGATAAACACGGCAATAGGCTCGGTCACAGCCCAAGACCCAGATGCTGCCCGGAACCCTGTCAGGTAAGAGCACTTATGAGACACATCTTTCATAAGGTTCAGTGGATTTATAGTCAAATATGTCTGCAAGTTGGAAAAGATGAATCCTTTTTATCCAAGTTGACAGTAGCATCTTCTTGAAAAACTATTCTAAACAGCACCTTTCATCTCCTTACTCAATATAAATATTATTTTATCAGCAGCATAACTTTAAAAACAAAATTGGGGGGCATAAAATGAGCTATAAGGAGGATTAAAGTGGTATAAGGTAACACCCCCGAATGGCCTGGGATTTTTTTTTAAGATCTTACATTTGCTCCAGAGTAGTGTGGAGAAAGCATTGTAGAAGCGTTTTTCCAAGTGTGGAAGACCTGTTGTGTAACACTTTGAGACAGAATTCTGCTCCATTTCAATGCATAATTTTTTTTCTTCTGCAGAAGCGGATAAGAATGAGAACCATTTCATGATATATGTCTGTGAAATCCTGGGGAAATGAATAGAGCTGAATCCAATTTATACTGTGTAAGCTCTATTTTCCCTGTGCTTCCTTTACACCTTAGTTGTAGACCATGTTTCAAGAAAAGCCTCATTGTTCTTTGAGACATTGATGCTTCCGGATTCTGGACCCTTAGCATGAAAGCGTGGAAGTAAACCAACCTCCAGCCTTTACCCAGTAGCTTAGTTGACTACATGAGAAAAGTGCTATACCAGAATATCATTTTGTAAATGATTCCCCATAAAGAAAGCAAGCAGACTGAGAAGCTAGAGGACGTCTTGCCAGTGTGTCCCCGAATAAATCCTAGTCAGGGCACCTGCCATGTGCCAGGCATGTTCGAGGCATCAGGGAAACAGAATGATACCAAGTCCCGATCTCATGGAGCTTACATTCTAACTGGGGCAGACAGAAATAAGCAACCGCTAAATATTGTCATATGTCAGGTAAAAATAAATTGTGAGCAGTAAAATAAGACAGTATGGAGACAGCAGGTATACAGGAAACTATTTTAGATAGTGTGATCAGGCTTGGCCTTGGTAGGAAATAATTTGAGTAAATATTTGAACGAAATGAAGGGATGAACCATGCTGATATCTAGGGGAAGAACATTCCAAGAAGAGAAAAAAGCAAGGGTAAGGTCTGAATGCTGGGCCCGCAGAAGGAATAGCAAGGAGGCCTATAAGAGGGAAGAGTGTGAGTGAAGCCGAGAGTGATAGGAGTGGGGCCACAGGAGGTTGGATGGCTGGTGGAGTCCTACAGGGGTTTGTAGCCCTAGTAAAGACTGGATTTTGCCCTGACCGGTTTGGCTCAGTGGGTAGAGTGTCGGCCTGCGGACTGAAAGGTCCCAGGTTCGATTCTGGCTAAGGGCATGTACCTTGGTTGCGGGCACATCCCCAGTGGGAGGTGTGCAGGAGGCAGCTGATCGATGTTCCTCTCTCATTGATGTTTCTGGCTCTCTATACCTCTCCCTTCCGCTCTGTGAAAAATCAATAAAATATATTTAAAAAAAAAAAAAAGACTGGATTTTATTCTGATTGAGGTAAGAAGCCATTGGAGAGCTTTGAGTTGAAGCGTTACCTAATCCAAAAGTACTTTTTAAAAGAATCACACTGGCTGTGCAGGAAAAATATTGTTGCAGATAAGAGTTTGAGACTCTAAGGCAGTCATTTTCTAACTTTATTGCCTTTGAACCCTTTGTTTACATGAAACCTGTGGCAAGTCCCAAATCTAAAACACAAAAATGCCTGGCTTACTTTCAGAGAATAATTTTAAATCCTGTTGTTTCATCGTTCTATTGGAATATCTAGACTCCTTGAATTGGACTGTGGTCAACCCAAAGTAGCTGCATGAGAGCTCCATGGACCAAGTGCTCCTCCATTTACATTAGGGTTATTAATAAGGAAAATGAATGATGGCTTTCACCTTATAACAAAAATAATTTTAAGTACTTGAACAACTATTCTCTCACTTGAAGTTTGTTCTAACTGTGTGAGGAAAAAACCTTAGCAAGTCAATGTCGAGACCAATTTAAAAGTGCTAATACTGAGGTTGACAAATACGAGCATCGCTTACCTCCTTGACAAGGTCAACTTGTTTTTCACTGGAAGAGATAATGTCTTCTGGAAATTTAGGCTGAATTTTTATGTCTAATTTTCTTTTTATACCAAATATCATTTTTACTCACTGTATTATATTATGTTTTGTGAAAATAAGGAGATTGCCAAACTAGGTTGGCTGACAGCTAATTTTGAAGTTTCCTTCTGCTAGCCCTCCCTTGCTAGATATGGATTTGATGTATAAATATAGATTTAAGGATAGAAATACACATAAATATATTGGTATATAAGTACATATGCCATTGATTCCTTTTATAGCATAAAATTGATTCTTATATTAGGAAAGTACATCCATATATATTGAACTGCTAGGTCTACAACTAATGCTAGAGAATCCTTCCCCCAAACATTAATATATCATTATGCAGGCACAAATCTTTAACTCTTCAATAACATAAAATAATTTTCATCCAATAACCATCACAAATGACCTTTGATTTCCATGAAAGAGCCTTATAAAATGTCACTGTGAATCCATATTGTGAAAAGTTACATGCATGCACACTTCCTTCCTAACCCTCAAATCTTCCTGACTTGAAGATGCATTAGAAGACAAATTATTGAATTATCACAGAATACAATAAAGTTTTAGAAAGAAAAAAAAAGAACTATCTAGCAGAATGATCTGCTACCATCATGGGGGGATTGATTACCTTGTTCCTCATCAAGTTATAATTAGAATTAATGGGACTGGATAGTAAATGGCCTGGATATAAACTGGAAATATTTGGAAAGAAAAACAACAAATAAATAAGGCTTTGCATGCAACCATCTTTTCTAAACAATACAAACATTTTAGGTTTTCTATTAATTTTTAGATCTCCCAATTAAAGAAAAAATATATACATTTTGGTATTTACTTTTAAAGAAAAGAAGTTATTTTTCTTTAAAACTTAAAGCTGCCTTCGACTAGAAGTTCCTCACCTTGTACCCTTTATGTCAAGGCTTGATGGGAAAATATGATTGCTTGTAAAACTTAAAACTATAGCAAGATAAAAAGAGGCAAAGAACAAGAAAAGATTATTGCTGTAACAGCTTATAAAGGCAATAGGCAACACATCTTAAGCTTGATGTATTTCACGAGGAAAAATATATATTTTTAAATAATTATTAAATTTCTTACAATCTATGAATATTGAGATTTTCTTTTTTATTGGTTTATTATTAATTATTTTTAATTAAGTATGTAAATATTTATCATTCTCAGATTAAAAATGAAGGTGATCGAGCAAGTTCAATGCGATTGCCTAAATTCTTAATAAATGTTGATTCATGACATAAATGAAAAATAAGACCTATTTCATCTGTTTCAATCCTTTTGATAATAAAACATTAGGTTTCTATAAATTGAAATGAAAATTCTAACCCAACTTGATAAATATAGATCCATTGTAATCTTTATTCATTCTCTTTTTTAAAAAATATTTTTTTATTAATTTCAGAGAGGAAAGGAGAGAGAGAGATAGAAACATCAATGATGAGAGAGAGTCATTGATTGGTTTCTTTCTGCATGCCCCACACTGGGGATCTAACCCACAAGAGAATTGAACCCGTGACCTCCTGATTCATAGGTCAGATGCTCAACCACAGAGCCACACTGGACGGGCCACTCATTCTCTTTAAAACCAGGCTTGCGCAGCCTGCAATAATTGGATGTATGTTTTATTTTAACTCCTGCTAAATGAAAAAAATAGATTTTATTAAGCTAAAATACCTTGTTTATTATAATTCACTAGTTATATTTTAAAACAAAATAATTAACTGAAAGAGAATATTGGACATTATACACATTAGTAACAAGGGTTTATTTTTCTTAGAGTATTTATAATAAATTCACATGTGTATGACTAATTAGATCATTTACTTAAATTGTATTTCTTCTGAGCCAACATTTTTAAATCACCCAACATGATAAAAATGTTGAGAATCCAGCTAAAATGGGCAGTTTTTGTTCCTAATGACCTTAACATATCAACTTTCTTCTGAGTTTTCTCTTTAACATCCCCCCCATAAAACAGAATGTACTACTTTTCCCCCTTACACAGCTATTCCAAAAACTAGTGATCAATTTATAAAGATGATAACAGTTCTCAAAATCTACTAGTCTTCTGTCAGTTTCCGTGTTGAAGACTCTTCCTTCTTTGGTTTCTAAGACACACTCTTGGATTTCTTTGAATTCTCCAAACTCTCCTTAAACATCTATCAAGTTTCTCACTGCTGTGGGCCCTGTCCTAGTCTGGCACATCTCTGTTTTAGAGTTCTTCCTCTGAGTGATTATGTCATCGCTGTTATTCTCCCTTCCCAGGACACTCTCTTCCTGAAGAGTTGAATAGGGAATCTAGATTTTCAGTCCAGATTTTCACCTTGAGCATCAGACTAGAAACCTCAATCCAGACTTTTCTCAGGGTTTATTCCTCAACATGTCACAACTGGCACTTATGATCTTCCCCAAATCCTGTTCTTCACAAATTCCTGTCAGTTTGTGTCAGAACCGTCCAACCAATTTCCTCAATTCTCCTCGATTCAACCAGAGATCTTGGCTAACTGTGTTTTAGATTATGACACTCCTGCTTAAAATCCGTTGGTAGAGCTACATCGCTCTTAGAAGAAGTCACAGCTTCTTAACATGGCCAGCCCATCCTTCCACAGTCCAACTGTGGATCTCTTCCCAAGCTCAACCCCTACCCTGCCTCACTAACCTCAGCCACACTACCCATCTTTTGCTTCTTTTAACATAACTTTCAAAATAAAATAAATATTAAACAAATAGCCAATAATCCCAATTATTCATACAAACACACACACACATTAAAGTTCTGAGGTTCTAAAAACTTGAGTTATTATAACAATTACTATACAAACTTGGCCCAAATTATATTTTTAAAAAGAAACTTCAGTGATGATATTCAAAACCATGCAGCTTATCTAGTGGGTTTACTATTAAGACTTCAGTTGTCAACAACTAATTTTTCAGAATATTTTGCTTAATGTTAAGCTATAGATATTCAAATATATGCTACTGTTAGAAAAAAAAATTTCATGTAACAGATTTCTGGGAACAGTTTTAGGATGTGAGAATAACAAATACAAAGAAAAAAGCCTTTATAAATTCTATTCTGCATTTCCAGGTATTCTGTCGATCGACACACAGATCTGGACAGAATATTCAACATTCATTCTGGAAATGGTTCCGTTTTTACATCGAAACTTCTTGACCGAGAAACATTGCTGTGGCACAACATTACAGTGATAGCAACGGAGATCAGTAAGTCCAACCCCATACCATGCTGTCCTCGATTGACTGAACGTCCCAGCAAGGGCTGGTGAAGCATGCCCTGCTCAATACATATTGAAGGAAAGAGCCCTGAAATGATTTGCAATAATGTTTCCTCTAGACATATGTTGGTTCATTCACAAATGCAACTGTGGAAATTCAGCAGGTTAGAAACAATAAAATGGGAAAGCATCTGTGTCAGCTGGGGTTGAACTGGTACATGTTGGATTCGACTTCAAAAAGCTTATAAACCAGAATATTGCAGAAACAGCTGAAAAAAAATGAGCTGCTTAAAATGGTTAGACATTGTGTGTGGGGGGGAGAGGGGGCAGGGGATAGAGGGATCAAATACATTCTAAAAAGTAGGCACTGTTTGAAAATTTCTTGGATATTCATCCTCTAATTTTCTATTTTTCAATTGTTACAGAATTAAGAGATATAAATTTTAACTTTCCCATGGTACACCAAATGAGCAGCACAATAAAGTGTTTAGGATGAATTTTATGGCAGTCGCTATGAAATTTAAGGCAAAGAAAATCAGTGCCAAAAGAAGGCTTCAAATAAAATGATTATACACAGTGAACATTGCGCAATGTAAACACAATGTGTAGGACTAAGTGCATGAAAAAAATGATCTTGAAAAATATTACTTAAATGTTTAAAAATAGGCTTCTACTAAATTATGGCATATTTTTTAGTTTTTGGATTTTCACTTTGTATAAAAATTTTATTTTAAAAAATTTAACTCAGTTGGGTGTCTGGTGTGAAACATTCCATATCGAATGGTATATTACAGTAGCATTCTTTGTCAGCATAACTTATGAGATTTGAGTGGCTGAAGGATATTGAGTAGAAAAATAAATAACCAATATGGGTAAAATGAAGCATTGTTTTTTGATAGCAATGAAAACTCCTCAGTATCAGTTTGTTATGGCAGTATTTGCTCTTCAGAATTTATGTGGAGGGAATAATGTGGATATCAATGATAGGGCACATTTAAAGCTTTGAAATTATGAAATCATTTCCCACCAGAAAGTACCATTTTTCTATAACATCAGGAATTTTTTAAGCTTTGTGCCTAAAATGTTCTGTTTTTAAGATTTACAGTTTCTACGATATATTTGAAATCACTAGTAATAAAGACCTTTCAAAACTTTATCTTCAGCATCTCTAACTTTGGAAGAATAGTGAGAGCAAAATGTTAGACACAAAGGAGCTTAAAAATTTCCCTTCTTAACTACCTTTGTTTATGCAAAACCAAGAGCTTAAGTCCAGGTCACTTACTCCTACTCCAAGGCCTTTGCACCTGCTATGTCCTCTGTCCAGAGAGCCAGAAATATTCACATGATTTAATCCTTTTATTCATTCATGTCGGTACAAATGGCATCTCATCAGAGAAACCATCCCTGGTCAAGCCATTCAAAGTAACACATCCATCTCTCTCCAACTCCTTTTCCCTGTTTAATTTCTCCATAGCATTTACCATCTGACACATTATATTTTTATACGTTCACAGTTTGCTACCCGCACTAGAATAGAGCTTCAGGAAGCAGGATCTTTGTTGGGTTCCCCATGTGTTCCAGCACTCCAAATAGTGGCTGGCACAAATTCGATATTAGATGCTCCCTAAATATTTATCAAGCAAGTGAACAAATAGACATATGAGCAAAGTGAAAGAAGAAAGCTGAGGTTAGAGACTCCGACTTCTGATTCGTAGACCAGGAACCTGTCTACTACACTGCCCAGGAGATTGTCATGGAAGATCACCAGAGTGCTTTGCTGCTCTATCGTACACTATGAACAGCCTGGGCGTTGGAGTCAGACAGACCCCAATCAGAATCTAAGCTCTACTCCTTACTGTCTCTGGGCAAATTACCTAACCTCTCTGTGCCTCCGTTTCCTCACCTATAGAAGGGGGGCAGTAGTCTCAGAAATTTGCACGGATTAAGGAAGATAATGTAGCCAAGTGCTTAGCACAATGCTCAGCTCTTATTTAGCACTCACACTAAAAAACTAAGATAATAACAATCACTCATCCCCCCACCCCACCCTCGCCATGACCCCTTGTCCACATTTCCACACCTGCCTGCTTCCTTGGCTTCCTTTAAAATCTGGCTCTAAAGGGCCTCTGTAGGGTGGCTTTTCTCTGTACTCTGATGTTTATTACCCAGTTATACTCCATCAACCATGTACCTGTGTCTCCCAGGTATCTCCCTCAGGTGTACCTAATGGACCAGAAGTACCAAACGATCTAATTCTACTTTTTTGTGACTACATTGGTACTGAATGCTCTCTGGTACTCACAGCAGCCTTGGGGAGTCTGTGCATGAATGAGGAAGAAGGAGTGAGTGACTATTGTCTAAAAGGGACTGGTGACCAACATATAAATGTCTCTTCCTTTCATTTTGGCATGTTGCAGATAATCCAAAGCAGAGCAGCCGAGTACCTCTCTATATTAAAGTTCTAGATGTCAATGACAACGCCCCAGAATTTGCTGAATTCTATGAAACCTTTGTCTGTGAAAAGGCAAAAGCAGATCAGGTGAGTTTCATACGAAAGTAAATTAATTTAGTTGGGTTAATTTAGATCCTCTAATAATTCAGATGATAAACAGAACCAAGGGCCAGTTTTGAATTATCTATGAAGCGAATGCTAACAAAATTAATACTATAGGTAAGAACCAGGATGAATGTTTAACTTGCAAAGAGAACAAACACTTTTTAAGAACTGGAAGTTCATCAGTCTCAAAGTCTGATGCTGATTCCAAATCAGCCTTAAGGTTTCATTAAAGTAGATTAGTCACAGCTTTATTGGAAAAATCTTTATTGGTAAGCAGATAGTTTTAATTACCATACATATTGGAAAGTAATCGCTAGAACATATTTTATAAACTCCTATGATGCATAGTTCCACTCACTTACATTGCCCATCTGTACAAGTAATACACATTCATGAGTGCTTTACACATGTCCCCATCTGAAATAGGTCTTTTCTGCCAGTGATATAGAAATTATGTTTCAGTTTGTCAAAATAGAAGTGCACTTTTAAAATGCATGCTAACGTGGGCAGCTGAAGTTATGTGTTTTATGTACCAATTTTCTTTTCAACTTTTTTGCAAGTTGATGGCTTTTGTATATGCCCAGATTGCATTTCTCAGCAGGCTGGCCACCGGTTGCCTCCATGTTCTTAACTTACAATGTTGTCACAGATCACTGTGATATTGTATAGCTTTGTATCACCCTAGAGCTGATGTTTCTCCACCCAGGTGACTTTTGTCCCTCAGGGAGCATTTAGCAATGTCTGGGACATTTTTGACATCACAAGGAAGAGGGAGCTACTGGTATCTAGTGGGAGAAGGCCAGGCTTGCTGCTAACTTCCTACAGGACAGCCTCACCGCCAGGATTAGCTATAGCTATTTCCAACCCATCAGTTCTTTGCATAGAGTGGACTCATTGTAAACTTTATAGAGGCTATCATTTTTTAAATTAAAACTTGAGCAATTTACTGCAACACTGTAGGAAACACGTTAAGTTACAAAACTTTCTGACAGCTTTGTGGTTTGGGTTTTAGTTGATTCAGACCCTCCGAGCTGTTGACAAGGATGACCCTCAGAGCGGGCACCAATTCTCCTTCTATTTGGCCCCGGAAGCAGCCAGTGGCTCCAACTTTACCATCCATGACAACAAAGGTAAATGAGGCCACGTGACTTTCTCTATCTCTATACTTACCCCAGTACCTATATCCCTCTATTCCCCTCCCAATTGATCCACCACATGAGGCGGTATCCACATGCAGTCACCAATTTGCTTTCCTGTTGCAGACAACACAGCGGGAATCTTAACGCGGAAAAATGGTTACAATAGACACGAGATGAGCACCTATCTCCTGCCTGTGGTCATTTCAGACAACGACCACCCAGTGCAAAGCAGCACGGGGACAGTGACTGTCCGGGTCTGTGCATGTGACCACCATGGGAACATGCAGTCCTGCCACGCGGAGGCCCTCGTCCACCCCACGGGCCTGAGCACGGGGGCTCTGGTGGCCATCCTGCTATGCATCGTGATCCTACTAGGTAAACTGCTTCTCCCTGCATCCTCTCTCCCCATGCTGAGGGGCACACTCTCTTACTGTGACACTCTAGCCACCTCCCCACTTAAGGCATACAGCCTAATCTAGGTGAGTAGAGTTATATGCTGAGAATCTGTGTTGTTCCACCATGAACTAGCTTTTGCTTGACTATGGCTTTGGGGAATGAGCAGATGTGGAACTTACCCATGTTTTTACCTACCTAGGGAACCACTGCACCAAAGAATCTCTTACCTATCAGACTGGGACTGAATCTCAGGGGGATATGAGGGCAGCATAAATATACCCTCTTCGTTTCATTTGTTGGTTAATATTTAACCTGACAAACATTGTTAAATTTTAAAGAATGAAAGTCATTTGACACGGAGTATCTGATGAAGGCCCATTCTATGAAGGTCAAGTGTAAAAATCAATGGGAAACTGGAAAGAAGAATGCAATGACTTTTTCTCTCTCATACAGGAAAACAAAAAGCAAATAAATTTTCTCTAACACAGCAAACCTAAACTCACTTAAATAACAACCTTCTTAGTATTGCTCTATAATTGCCATGCATAATATCTATTATTTCTCAGAATCTTGATAATAAAGAACTTCTGTGACCAAGGAAATAAACCTGGGACCTAAAAGATATAAATGTAAGAAAAGCAAAAATCAAGGTGTAACAATAATTCAAATGAAATTTTTTACCCCCGACCAACAGATTAAGCACATGAGCTGAGCTCAAAGTGATCCAGCAGCACCTTGACTGTTGTGAACTAAGAAATAAAATATTAGCTAATGCAACACTTCCAAAAATAAAACTTAGATTTGTATAGCTTGCGACACAATGGGAAAAGAAAAGTAAGAACTTAGAGTTAACCTGGATTACCCAGGGGAGTGGCGGGGGGGCGGGACGGGGGGGGGGGGGGGAACAGTACAGTGACTTTGAGAAGAGCAAAGTAAGATCTACATTTCTCCGAGAAGAGAATGAGAATGCCTAGGGATCTCTGCTCAAGAGCTTCACATTCCAGATCAGCTTTGCTAATTATAACAGAAGCCTTGAAACTCAGCTACAGAACTGTGCTGTGATTCTCTTTGTCATCTAATCTTTGGGGAAAGTATTTTAAGATATGAGGATAAATAAAAACGACAGTATGCAAAGACAAATCAGCGCTCCTAATGGTGAGCCTGTAAAAACTGTTTTGGAAGAGAAGAATATGAATAGTTCTAATTTTTTATTTCTTAAAAGAAGTTATTCTTAGAAGGGCTGGATGGGCAGGTAGACTGGATGGGCACGGACTCTATTATGGCCTATGGAAGGAGAGCGATTCTCATCTCTAGAGGTGATTCTTCCTTTCCCTCATCACCTACCCATTTTCTCCTCCCCTTTCTTCCTCCTGACCAGCCCCCTTTACCCTCCCTTTCCATCCCTTCCCTCCACTAAATTCGCTCTCTCCTCATTACTTCTAATTTGCCTCAGTGCCTCCCACATCTTGTCTAATCTCTTCAGCACTCTATACTCATTAAAAAAGAAGAAAAATGGGATTTAACCTTTAACTAGGCTCACTTCATGAGCTAGACACTGAGCAAGATACTTTCCAAATGCTTTTTCTCTCACTTAAACCTCTGCCCCATCTGGCAATATATTCATCTGCATCTCCAATGTGAAAACTGAAGCTCCAAGATGTGCAGTCACACAGCTAACAGGTAACAGAACCAAGTTCCAAACTCAGGTCTTGTCTCCATGAGCCTTGTGCTTCCACGTGGCACTCTGCTTTCTTTGTGAAGTTACGGAATGCAAGGTAACTTCTAGGCCAGCGGTCAGCAAACTGCGGCTCGTGAGCCACACGCAGCTCTTTGGCCCCTTGAGTGTGGCTCTTCCACAAAATACCGACTTCTGCGCATGGGCCACGAAGTTGGGCCACAAAGTTTTAATCGCACTGTACATGCGCGCCCGCACGTGCTATTTTGTGGAAGAGCCACACTCAAGGGGCCAAAGAGCCGCATGTGGCTCGCGAGCCGCAGTTTGCCAACCACTGTAGCTGAAAGAGAGCCGGAAGTGAAGCGACAGAGGAAGAAAGTGGAAGTAAACCTGAGAGTTTATAAGAGAAGGAAAGCCAAATAGGAGGGGATCTGCAGTCAAGAAAGTGGGTCAGGGGGCAACTATTGTTTTATTTACAAAAACAAACAAACAGTAAAACAACCGCTACATTTCGTGTCTCTATGGTCCTTTAGAGTTTGCAAAACATTCACATAAATTAACTCATTCCTGACAACAACATTGGGCGTTATGATATTGCTTCTCTTTTCAGAGAAGGAAACAGAGTTAGACAAGTCAAATCCTTTAAGTAAACCTGATCCCAATGCCTTGCTACTTTCTAAGTTATATGGTGGGGTTTGAGCACAATTTTGTCCACAGGTCTCCTCCTCAAAAATAATTTTATTGCTGTCTTCTGCCCACAGGAGTAAGGGAAGGGGGAGGCTCAGTGACTGGGAAGGGCATGTCCTTGGTCAATTACTCTCTCAGAACTTTTTTGCTCCGTGTGCTTAGATCACACGTTTTCCATTTATAAAAGTTAGCTTTGGAAAGCTCTCTCTTCTTGACAGTTATACTATCAAGAAATTCTGTTCAGATGTGCCTCAGGCTACTAAGAAAAGATCTAGGCAGTGGTAGCTGTAGGAGAATTAGGCAGTGAATAAATGCCTTTGAATGACTGGATATGCCCTCTCTCTCCTAGACAGCTGCACTTTTAGGTACACATAGGACTAAAATAAAAGATGTAGGTAGCTTAAGCTGGGGGAGAATTAGGAAGTGATAAATGCCTGCCTTCAATAATGGAACAAACCCATGGATATCAGAGTTTAATTTTTTGAGAGTAGGTTAGCTTGATGCTATTCTCTAATCCCAATGGCTGCTCTTACTCACAACCTCTGTTTTGCAAATCCATGTCACTGGTCACACTGCAAGGCAGTATAGAAAGGTAGATTGTGAGCATCCCTTTGCCCACAGCCCTGCAATTTCTACCTACCCAGACTCCAGAGTAAAGTGAAGGCATACAGAAGCACCCATCACCCCACATGAGGTGGCCCTTCCCTACTGCTCTCCTCTCCTGGCTCCCGCTGCTCCAGCCACAGGGTCTCCTAGCTGTTCCTCAAACACTCCAAGCACACTCTCTCTCCAGGGCCTTCTACCTCTACCTCTTCACCAGAGAGCTCCTTGGATAACTCCTCATGTCTTTGCTCGAATGTCACTTTCTCAATGATGCAATCTGCCCCCAAAATAAATAGCCCCTCAAACATGCATGGAAGCACTCCCATCCTCCTGACTCTACTTATCACCTTTTTAGTACTTTCCATATTTGTTATGCACATTGTTTATTTTCTGTCTCCTCTACCACCACCACCTGCCCACCTTATTAGGCCCTGATCAATTTTTTTATTGATAGTGCCAAAACCTGAACCTGACACAGAGTAGGCACTACATAAATATTTATTGAATGAATGAATAAATAAATACCCTGAATGGACATGACAAATGAGGCATCAGAATACTCTGGCAGCAAAAGACAATGTATACAACCACGCATTTGAAAAAGGCAAAATTGTATAGCCTTGAGAAATGGTCTATAATCCAAACATGTGTCAAAGCATGGTTCAGTATGGGCTTTGTAGTCTGGCTGACCTGGATTTCAACTGCTTGTACATGTAACATCTCTATGTAACTTCCTCTATGTAAAATGGAATTAATAATGATGGTACCTATTTTGTAGGCTATTATGATAATTAAATGAGATCAGTATGTAAAACACTTAGCCCAGTGCTGGACACATAGAACCCTCTCAATAGGTAACCAATTATCAATACTACTAACATCTAAAATGTTAATGTATAGACACAATGTGTGCATGTATCCATTATTATATAGGTAGATACAAATATTCATCAATCCTTCTTTTATTTTATTTTTATTTTATTTTTATTTTATTTTTATTTTATTTTTATTTTATTTTTATTTTATTTTTATTTTATTTTATTGGGGTGACATTAGCCAACATGAACATATAGGTTTCATGTGTGGATTACTAATTTACAAAATCTGCATATAGGACCATGTGCTCACTACCCAAAGTCAAATCTTCTCCTGTCACCTCATATTAGGACACCTTTCTTCCCCCACCCCCTGCCCTCTGGCAACCACCACACTGCTGTTTGTGTTCTTAATGTGATAATTCAATTTTCATGGCTTATTTAAAAATGGGACCATGTTATGGATGACAGAATAAAGAGATGTTACTGGTACTTCCTGTAATAAAGTCCCCCGCACAAACCCAGTTTAACAAGGCATGTTCTGCCCTGGGTAGCTGTTGTCTCTCTACGCTGTTGCTATGTTTTTATTTTCCCACCCATATGTCCATTCACAGATGTGTGTCTCTACAGGTAACCAGCTGTGTTCTAGCCAGCCAGCTGGGAAGAAACATCAGGAGCTATTTAAACACAAATCTTCCTTCATCTCTAATTTGACTTAGGAGGAAAAAAAATCAAAAGACTGAATATCCAGGCAATAAGCTTGCAGAACATGAATCTTTAAAAGATTTTCTTTTTCATCCCCACTTAAACGTGTGCATTTTGTTTAGCTTGAACAGAAATAATCTGGCATGTGTATGACCTGACCCCTTCGAATGGGCTGAAATCCAAAGTGGCTTTCGGAATTGTATCTGGGTCTCTCCAGGTATTATCTGTAATGTTGCCTCAGATGTGGGAGAGGTATGCAAATAGTCACATCTCTACTTTGGGTTTGAAACTAATTTTACACTCTTCTCAGGAAAACAAAAAAGAAAGCACAGTGCAAAAGTTATTTTAGATGTGGAGTTATGCAAGCCCTTCCACACGTAGGGAAGGTGCCAGCCTTGTGCTTCTAAGCAGCCTCGGAGCGTTTTGGGTGTTCAGCATAATTTGCACTCTCCCTGCCGTACTCTCACTCCGGCTGAGCTTTCTTTTTCTATTAGCATTTTCTCTATTCCCTTCCCTTGAAACCAGTTCGTAATTTCAAAGCAAAAAGGACCTACTGACAAAACCTGGCAATGTTTTATCCTCTGCTTAAATGGTGCCCTTCTTTCAAATATTTCCTCCGTTTCTCTGGGGTCCTGCTTTGATCCTGCACGAAGGCAAATGCGCGCATAAAGAGGTAGAAGTTGAGTCTGCACTTGCCTAGAGGACTTTTAAAACTTGCCCTGGGCGCCCAGGCTTCCCTGCGGGCTGGCACTGGGTGGCACATTAACCTCCCCTTCCCTTGCTGTTTTGTTTCTGCTTCCAGTGACCGTGGCGCTGTTCGCAGCTCTGCGGCGGCAGCGGAAAAAGGAGCCCCTGATCATTTCCAAAGAGGACATCAGAGACAATGTTGTCAGTTACAACGACGAGGGGGGCGGCGAGGAGGACACCCAGGCCTTCGATATCGGCACCCTGCGGAACCCCGAGGCCATCGAGGACAGCAAATTGCGCCGGGACATTGTGCCCGAAGCCCTTTTCCTACCCCGACGGACTCCGGCTGCCCGAGACAACACCGACGTCCGCGATTTCATTAACCAAAGGTTGAAGGAAAATGACACGGACCCCACGGCCCCGCCCTACGACTCCTTGGCCACCTACGCCTACGAGGGCACCGGCTCGGTGGCCGACTCCCTGAGCTCGCTGGAGTCCGTGACCACGGATGGAGACCAGGACTACGATTACCTTAGTGACTGGGGCCCTCGCTTCAAAAAGCTCGCAGACCTGTACGGAGGGGCCGACAGCGACAAGGACTCCTAATCCGTTGCCTTTTCCATTGGAGGGTAGGATGCTGAACTGTGTGACCTGGCTGTTTCTTCCCAGGGACCCGCTGCTCCCTGGAGGGTGCCCTGTCCCGCCCGGTTCAACAAGTCCATGGCTGCAGGCGTGTGGCTCCGATGGCAGAGACCCTTTTCTAGTACACTTTTATGAGCTTCCAAGAGGCAAATGTTTATTTTTTAGTGCATCCAGTTAACCACGTCGGCCCCGCAGGCGCCGTGCTGGAGGAGAGGATGGAGAGCAGGACGTGCCCCCGCGTCCCCTGGGGGAAGTTTGGACCATGTTCATCCCACCGGCCTGGCCTTTTGTACTCCACCCGTCGACTCAGGTCAGCTGACTGCTCTGACTCCACCTTTCGATGCTAACGGGATGAAGGACTGTTCTTTAAGGATAAAATATAGTTTTAGTAAAAGAAATAAGGGAGGAACGACCGTGAAGTAGTTCCCGGTATATCAGCTCACAAGGAGACAACGAACTATATATATATGGGTGTGTATTTCTGTCGCAATGAATTTAAGATGACATTTGCCCATCCTGTTTGTTCTTCAAGAACTTTTTCTGACACCTGTGACTATTCTAAGCATGATATCCACCAATGTTTTGAGATTCTCATTCCTCTGAAGGAATAGGAGCAAATTAAATAGCGACATTCAAAAACAACCAAAAAAATAAAAATAAGTAAGACCTCATTCCTTACCACTAACTCATAATTTGTTATATATTAGCCATGTAAAAGTTTGCCCTTGTACCATAGAAGGGAAAATTGAAAATAGCTAATAATATTAACAAAGGAGATATTTAGCATATTTTAAAATCTGGGCCACCAAATGTACCACAGATCACTTGAATTTTTTCCAACCGTCAGTAGGTTAATTACAAGTAAGTCTAATTGTTTAAAAAGTTCTTGAAGGAACTTTTCTGAGATAAATTTTAACTTCTTGTCTGTAGTTGTTGTCAGTATTATCCTAATATATACTTGAAAGTAGCAGTGTGAGGTACAATAATTCATGTTCTCCAGATACGTCTTACTAAATTAAGTTGCATTAGTAAAGGTAGATTAAATAAAACTTAAATCCCACTCTCAGAGTTTAATGGGGTGGTAAGAGCTAGTCACACTTGAACCTGACACCCTGTCCTTCACATCCAGAAACACCTATATATTTATATAACGTGATAGATGTAGATGAACGTTGAAATCATGGTGAAAACCTACATATGACATGCTTGGAAAATGCTTACAAAGGGAAAAGTTGGATTCCCTACAACAAGAGTGTTTAAGATTATAATTAAAATGATAGTTGGCTTTCAAAAGCATTAATATTTTTTCATTGTTTTTAACTTTATTTCCATGGCAACTCTGCTCTCTTTGTCTTTGAACAATGATAAAGTAATGGTCTCAAATGATGACAGAAGATAATGTACAATCCATCCAAATCTATTATTTCTCTAATTATGCAATTAGCATCATAGTTATTATCCAGAAGACCTAACCGAACTGAACTATTCCTTTTGGCAGGTTCAAATCATTTATTTCATGTGGCTGTTCTAATGACTTTTATCATTAGAATCTTCATGGGCAGTCATCAAAAATTTCCAAAGTACTGTAATAAAAACATCCTTATTTTGAAAGCTTAAAAACAAAACAGGCTCTGTATATATATATATATATATATATACACATATATCTTAAGAATATGCTGACTTCAATTATTAATCTTAGAGATTTATTTTCAATTAATGCTAATTTTCTACAGATAACCTTAGTGTCATATCCATTTGGGGATAATGTCATATCAGCACATAATTTTTATTTGGAAACACACTGTCATTTAGTTAAGTTTTAAATAGAGATATTACCCAGGAAGTAAAGATGGCACCTTTAAAATTAGAGAATTGTAGTGTTTTGGATTACCCATTTAGAGGGAAAATTTTTTACAACCATGTTATTCCTTGTGTTTCCTGAATGTTTTCCTATTTTGTAAAGTACTTCCCTGTATACTAACAAGTATTTCACGCTTAGGTTATTTCCTGCTTTTATGGTTTTCTTTTCCTAGTTACACACACATAGGGATGCAAACAAAATACTACAGGAGGGTTTCCTTGTAATGAAGTGACACATATCATAGTCATAGGTAAGCACTGGGAAAAAGGTAGCTTAGTAAAGTTAATAAGAATTAGTTATCTATAGCAATAGACCAGCACCTTAATCACATGACTTACTGTAAAATTAAAGAGTTCCTATCATAATGTTTTATGTCATGTAACAAATTGAATCAAGAAAGTTCTATAAAAAGAAACCTATCAGCAGAAGTCTTTCTTTTGAACTTTTGGCATTAATTGGAAAGTCTGAGGGCTGACACTAGCAACTTCCAATATTGAAGGGTAAGGTTTACTCTTTCCTCATAAGTGAGAGTCTTTGAGATGTAATTGGCCAGATATTTTATCCCATCCTAAAGATGATACAGTCAGTGTACCAAGATCAGGTGAATATGACTAAATATTGAAATAACTATTTAATCTCTTACCACAGAAGCTGATGATGAAGTGAATGTCTAAGAAATTGGATAATTTGAGACTGGAGCTGAATATTTAGCAGTAGGGTCCTGTTAGCATCAAGGCAGAGTACTATTATCCTACCATTAAGACTCTTTGACATCATGGAAACAATAAGAATCACCATTCCATTATTTCACCCAGGTCTAACTTCCTTCCCACCAAAGCATCAGGTCAAGGACCAGGGGCAACACAACTGATCACTGGAGAAAGAAAATTAAGATTTTTCAGCTCACTTTTCACATTGTCTCTGTCCTGATATTAGATGTTGGTGATGAGAAGTATGAAAGTAGAAAGAGATAAAATTTTAATATTTGCTTTAATTACTAAGAAACTAAAATTCAGTTAATATAAGCAGGTTGCTTTTATGGGTTGTTTCAGGAACTTTGAGGTCTTTCTGAGCCCCCCACCCCCAAGAATTTCTTTAAACCACAAAGATGTTCACTGGAGTAAGCTGACAGTTTAAATACATTCAGCCATTGTGCATACATTTAAAGCCCCTTCACTTCATGGCCACTTCCTCCTGAAAGGCTTAGAATATATTTGTCCCCAAATAAAAAAACTAAATCTAATGGGGGAGAAGAAAAGATGGCTCCATAGAACCATAAGAGAGGGGATCTAGGCACAGTAAATATTTTTTTTACAGAGCTTTTTTTAGCTTTACAGTTTAGGTGCTTAAAGGGAGGTTCAGATTTAAATTGATTTTATTTTCTTTTTTGTTTGCTTGTTTTTTATATGTTTTTTTATTGATTTCAGAGAGGAAGGGAGAGAAAGATAGAAATATCAATGATGAGAGAGAATCATTGATTGACTGCCTCCTGCCCTGGGGATCTAGCCCACAACCCAGGCATGTGCCCTTGACCAGAATCAAACCCAAGACCCTTCAGGCCATAGGCCAATGCTCTATCCAGGTAGGGCAACTCTATTTTCTATTCAATTTTAACACAGTATAAAAACTTGTGGTTGAGTTTTCATTTTCAGCTCCCAAAAAGTTATGAAAAAGTTCTTAAAGTTGAGTCTTTATCCTAGAAGCATCTCAACTTTTTGGATCCAAATTAACTTCAGAATGTTTCCATTATTTTCATTGTCAAGTACATAAATTTTAGTTATCCTTGCTGAACAAGGCCTTATATCAAATGTTTTGTCTTGAAATGCATATTTTATTGGAGATAATAATGTATACACTATGATTGGGCATTCCTCAGTTCTATATACTTAAGGACCAAAAAGACTATGCAGTTGAAAGGAAAGAACAGAGTGGAATCCTGAGAACAAACCAAATATTTAAATCAGGTATAGCTAAATGTATTTTCCCCAGGAAATTCACCACCGAATAAATTACTATATCTTAGTCACTAATTTTGAAGTAGTGTAATTACTTTGGAAGAACACTCTAGAAAGTCATGACCCCACTATTTTGCAAGGCATCCTCTGAAAAGGATCATTTTAGTGTAATTTTGTCTTTTATGTTTTTATCTAGATGAAATCTTTTTTGAATTGTGACAAGGGATGAAAAATCTACTGCCTTTACATTAACACTACAAGTCAGCCTTCTTTATCAGATTGTAAGAGAGGAAAGATCAAGGCGTTGTGTGTGGATCTTCCAGAGGATGAACTATGTTGTAAGGTCTGACAGGCAGCTTTCTTTTCCAGAGAATACAGGATCCCCATATGGTCTCCTGAAAAGTTCAGTGCTATTACAGTGCAGCATTTTGAATCTCCCTCTGGCATCTTTATGGAATAATTTTCTGAAGGGATAATTCTCTACTAAAATATATCAGACCCTGACCATATTTAATACCCTCTTAGAAAAGAAATACAATGACTTGCACGCTTGTTAAAAGTTAATAAAGAAATAGCTCATTTTTAAAGCCACACGTTTACGGTCTCTGCATCGTCAATTTAATTTAAGCATTGCTGAGACAATCTTTAATCTACTCCCCATTTTGTAATACCTTATTTATGATGCATTTTCATTTTTTAATTTGGGGGGAACATTAGCCAGACCAGAGCCAGCAGATAGATGAAAGTGCCGAAAGGAGGTCAGATGGAAACAGAGCCTTTTACCCACTGTCTCAGTCAGGACCCAGGCACTTAGCTGAAGAGCCACTGGGTTATTAGATTAATTTCAAAAGAGCTTTTATGAATTACTTAATTCTTTTTCTTTTCCTTTTTTCTTTTTTTGAAAACCCATGGACCACAAACTCAAATTTCTCTTCAAATGGGGTTAATTTGACAAATGAGGCATGGACCCAGCGTTGTGGAAAAAGCTTTCCACTATAATGAGATCTTGGTCTTTCCTGCGAGACTGTGCTATTCATGTAAATATGTCTAGAGGCACCTTCGATGAGCTTTTAGTTTTCTATGATCTGTTAGTTTAGTGTTTATTAAGGAATCAAATGTACAGAATTACTAGGCATCCAGGGGGAATGCCGTGTAGCAAACGTAAAACTGATCTTCTCGGAAGAAACATAGGAACGCTTCCAAACCACTGTACTCTTTTGTTTGTGATTATTTTCATTGCTTTGAAAGTACACTGCATAAGAATAGGCCTTATAATAAATGCTACATGCGTCTTCGGTAGTATCGAGCTAAGGCAATTTGGCTTTCTCCTACTGTGATTTGTGATTTTTCAACCCAGAAAAATCAAAGCTTTCGGGTATTGATTGTTTTTAATTAAAAACACTCCCAAGTACAAAGTGAAGCCGATGCCACCCTTGAAGATTTACTGGCTGGAGTGCTCGGTTCATATCATTTTTCTCAGTATTGCTCGTGTCTTCGGCAGTGAGAACACCGGATGGAAACAATCGCTGCTCAGCTCTCATCAACATTCCTAGTTAGGGAGAGGTTCAGGCGTCACAGGTTACATGAGCAAGTTTTCTGTATCAGAAGGAAGGGGTGAGACCACTACCTTCCAGCTCACTGTGGCCGGGCCTCTTGTAATCCAGTGGCAAGTACACGCTCCTTGAAACGGCTTCTCTGATTTCCCTTTGTTCTCTTAGACGTATACATTTGCAAAGAATGCAATTTAAAAAGTGATTTCTCACAGAGTAAATATGCCTTTTGCAGATCAATTTTTGTAACAAGTTATTTATATGATATTACTTAATAAACTGTTTTTTTCTAACTTGTTTTTTTTTCCATTCTCTCAAACTGTTGTTTGTAATCAGAGTTTTTAAAATGTACACGTGGATGCACACTTTATCTTTCTGAACCTGCTGTTTTAACTTCCCAGATAGCTAACGAAAGCCAACTTGTTGTATAATAATTAGCTTGTAAAACCATAGCTTCTCCCAGCCAGAAATATATATGTCGTGGGCACTGCCCTGCAAACTTCTCACTGGTGGGACAAAAACTCCTCTATTATTTATGGAATTGCTGCATTGAAAAGAAACCCGTTTATCCTCATGGTAACTGCTTTATATTTTAAAAAAAGGAGGGGGGGAACAGTTCTATATTTTTGTCAATCCCAAATCTCCATCCTTTATTTTACTCCCATAAAAGCAATTGTCTATGGACCTCAGATTTAAAAAAGGAAAAGGAAAAGCAAGAACCAGACCAGAGGGAAATAATAAAATCCATCCAGCATTCTGATACTATGAGTAAATACAATGTTTTTGTATATTCAGAGCTATAATATTTTACATGCTTGGCCTTTTTTTAAGCTGCCTCCTATTTCTACAGAGGCTATTTCATAATTTTTAAACTGGGAGAATTCATAGTTTTGCAAAGGAGATTTTCGTTTATTCATTCATGTGTTCAATACAGCGTAGGCACTTTGCTGTGTGCTGTAGAATATTCCACAGGAGCCAGATAGCTGTATTTTCCCTCCTCTCCAAAAGCTCATGGTCTCAATGGTCGGCAAACTGCGGCTCGCGAGCCATGTGCAGCTCTTTGGCCCCTTGAGTGTGGCCACGAAGTTTCAATCGCACTGTACGTGCTCACCTGCACGTGGTATTTTGTGGAAGAGCCACACTCAAGGGGCCGAAGTTTGCCGACCACTAGTCTAGGAGGAAGGGCCACCATAAGTGTACTGTAAATACTGTGATTACATAACTATAGTAACCTTCAGGAGGTGGCCTGGGGGTGTCTTCAGAGAGGTACAGATGACAGTGTGGATAGGTTAGAGAAACTATGTCTGCCCCAGTGGAGGGCTGTATGGGAGGATTAGGAATTAGCAAAATTGAGATAAAGGAAGATTAGAAATCAAGAAGAATAGCTGGGGAAAGACAGAAAAGAGAGGAATGTTTAAGCAATGCCATTGATCTCAGCTGAGGTCCCTGGAGGCGTCTCAGCTTGGAAAATCACGTAGCACCAGAAACAGAGGCTCACCAATGCCAGAGCAGCTAGGTTTTCGTTGTTGTTGTTGTTAATATATTTTATTGATTTTTTACAGAGAGGAAGAGACAGGATAGAGAGTTAGAAACATCAGTGAGAGAGAAACATTGATCAGCTGCCTCCTGTACACCTCCTGCTGGGGATGTGCCCGCAACCAAGGTACATGCCCTTGACTGGAATCGAACCTGGGACCTTTCAGTCCACAGGCCGACGCTCTATCCATTGAGCTAAACCGGTTAGGGCGAGCAGCTAGGTTTTGATGTTGTTTTGTTTTTACTTTTGTTTTCTGCTGTTTGGTTTAAAGTTAACTTGGTCATGTACAGAAATCCATGGAAAGGAAGGATGCTATTAGAAATACAATTTCTGAAGGATAAGTACATGGTCCCACCCCACCCCCTGCTCTGCACCAGCCCAGGGCAAGCAGAGCCCACAGGATCTAGGAAACCTCCCTGACCTAATGGTGACATAGGCAGGCAGTGCAATGCACTGTCTCAAAGGCGCAGTTCAGGAAGCAGATTGCTGCAAACATTTCCCATCATGATAACAAACCACTACCCATAGTAATTATTGGTATGTATTACGGTCATTCGCTCTACTGCTGCAACAGTACAAAATCTAGCATCTCCATGAAGCTTGTGCCTCGATCCTTTGAAGTTCAGGGTGGTTGTGGGCCTTTCTCCCCTTGCAGCTTTGCATTCGGAGCACAATGCCCCAAGGTTTATTGTGGCAGCGAAGGAGAGCTGATGCTGATCATATGGGATGTTTCTAAGGGGCAGGCCCATACATGGTTTATACCACTTCTGCTCACATCTCATTGGCCAGAACTCAGTCATGTGGCCCAAACTAACTGGACGTGGGCTGGGAGATATTCACACACAAACACATTGTGTCTGGTGAGCATAGTTTCAGTCTGTCAATCTTGCAATACCTTTCCCAATTCCTCCCAATTTTAGTCACCATAGTAAGCCAGGTCGCATAATAATCATGAGGCTGTTATCAGAAGAGGACGTAGGAGGTCATTTACAAATTCAACGTTCAAATCAGAACCCCTTTGAGAAAGTGTTTGTGTACCATCCCTGACTCCAGCACCCACGGCTGATATTGCTAATCAATTGACTCACAGATCCCCTAGCCTTAGAATCCCAGCAGCCATCACAACAGAATAATGCTGACCTATTTGCCATCCCAAACCAAAGAGATTCCATTCTCCTGTGAAACCTGTTTTCTTTCATTCTAAGTGTCGTTGACTACTCACCACCGATATTTGGGGAGAGCATTCTGATCCTGAGATTGTCAAAAATTTGGAATAATTAAGAAAGCTAAAAGGCTCTGTCTGCCATTGTAATTAGCTCACACTTTTATTTCATAAATCAGAACCAACCAGCACGTATCTCTGTTTGAACAATTCAGATATAATATCAGCTTGGCTGATGTATCTCTTCTCAGGCATACTCCTGAGCCTTTACATTCATTCTGCAAA